GGATGATCCAGGAAAAAAAAAAACGCTTTATTACAGCTCAGAAAAAAAACTGGACAATACCATTTTCTTGTAACTGCTTTTATTCACAGGCATTTTAAGCGACCTATCAGATTCACCTGTTACCCAAAGGCACATATGTTAGAGGAAGAAGTGGCCAACAGTTTGTTAGCCATTCCTTTTAACAGAGGTTTTTTGTTTTTTTGTTTTGTTTTGTTTTTAAGAAAGGAAAAAAGCTAAATTTTCTAACTGAAGGACAGGAGGGATTAAGGCAAACATTAAATAATGATCTAAATTGGAAAGAGGAAAGACACCAAGTTAAAACCTCCAGTCTGTTGTGGATTCTCAGTGACGGTCCCCATGTATATCCTGCAAAGGGACTCTAAAAATAACACTGTGGAATCCCAGACCTTTTAAGTATAAATGCATCCCATTTTCTCAGGCTTCTTGTCATCAAATTTTCTCAGGCTTCTTGTCTTTCCTAACTTCTCTTACAACCAAACTGGCGGTACAAAACTGGAGGTGTTTAGCAATCAGGATTATACACATTTATCACACAGGTTAGAATTTATTGATTCTGTCAATATAAAGACCTCAGTAAAGTGGGAATTTATTGAGCACCTACTAAATGTTGGGCACTGACATTCCTAGATATTGGGGATGTAGCAGTGAACAGGACATTGCCCTCGTCAGCAGAGGAAGAGAATAATGAATAAATGGTATATAGTGATCAATGCTATGAAGACAGTACAGCAGGATAAGGAGTGAGGGAGACCCATGGAGTGGCAAGATGGGGAGCTGAGGCCATATTCCAGCAGAGACATGAGAAATGTGAGTGAGAAAGCAGTGCATGTAACTGGGGGAAGAGTGTGTTCAGGCAAAAGGAACAGCAAATGCAAAGTCCCTGGAGCTGGAGGGAAATACAAAAGACGAGAGAGGAAGAGAAGGACAGAAAGGAAAAAGTAGTGCGGGTGGCTTCTTACAGGGCCGTGTAAGTCTTGGAGTGTTGTGATCTGAATCACATTTTCAAAGCATCCCTCCAGCTGCTATTTCGAGAAAAGACTCAAAGGCACAGGGCCAAGGCAGAGAACCCAGTGAGGGGAGATGGCCTGGGGCACACTGTAGTGATGGCAGTGGTGAGAAGCAGCTAGATCCTTGGGACAAGGGTGTTTGTAATAGGCGGACGTGGGAAGCAAGGAAGGCGTCTGTGGTCTCAGCAGCTTGTGAGGACAGTGGGTGAAGGCTGAAAGGTCTAGATTTGGATGTAAGTTGACGATACCATTCAGCATTTATTTTGTAGGGCAGAATGGATGTAGAACTGAGTACAAATCTTCCTTTTTTTAAGATTTTATTTATTCACGAGAGACACAGAGCGAGAGCAAGAGAGGCAGAGGGAGAAGCAGGTTCCATGCAGGGAGCTCGACGTGGGACTTGATCCCAGGTCTCCAGGATCACGCCCTAGGCTGAAGGTGGCTCTAAACCACTGAGCCACCTGGGCTGCCCTGAGCTCAGATCTTCCAATGAGGTACCGCACAAGGCAAGTTCTTGCCTCTTTAAGCAGAGAAGGCAGCTGAAGGAAATACAAGCCGAGCTACAAGATGTTTTCTATACCGGTGTCCTCTTTTATTGAAGAAAAGCACAATCATATTTTTGCAGTCACATGTGCTGGAAAATATTTTCTATTTATTTGAAACCTCAACTCTGAGAAACTCAGATACTATGCAAACTTAAAATATCCACTTGAAATAAAGAGAAAAAAAATAACAGAGAATCCCATGGGGAAAAAGGAAGAACAAAGTAAAATGGCTTTGGCTCAAAGTCAGGAAAGGTTCCTCCTCCCTGTGAAAGCTGATTCTCTATGGAGAGTATATAAAGCTGAAAGTTGGCCCATTAGCCTGGATGAAAAGTTTGGTAAAGTGGTTTTTGTTTGGTTGTTTGTTTTTCAGAATGGTCAGGTCCTAAGTGTTGTAAGAGTCCAGAAATTAAAAACAGACTCAAGAATCTCAGAGGATAAATACTCCTAAACAAGTTCTATACTAGAAACTCTCTCAGGAAAAAAAAAAAAAAAAAAAAAGAAACTCTCTCAGGCAGCCTGGGTGGCTCAGCGGTTTAGCGCCGCCTTCAGCCCAGGGCCTGATCCTGGAGACCCGGACCGAGTCCCATGTCAGGCTCCCGGGATGGAGCCTGCTTCTCCCTCTGCCTCTCTCTCTCTCTCTCTCTCTGCATCTCTCATGAATTAAATTTTTTTTTTTTAAAGAAACTCTCTCGATTTATCTCTCCCTGGTCAGACTAGTACCTGTCAGATGTTCACAAAACAAGCAAAAACCCCTGACCAGGCAATGCTAAACTCTCACAGTTACTAAGCTAACATACAATATGTTGGACCCTTTGTTCTCACTTTGCATGATTACTATGAGTTACTTGTTTATTTCCAAACCTGTTTATGTTCATTGTAATGTAAAAATTATATGAACCAGAGCATGTGCATGGCTCAGTTAACCAACTGGAGTGCCCAACTCCAGATTTCTGCTCAGGTCATGATCCCAGAGTCCTGGGATCGAGACTCACATCAAGCTGTGCACTGGGCATGAAGTCTGCCCAAGATTCTCTCTCTTCCTCTTCCCTTCATCCTGCTTGTACGCTCTCTCTCTCTCAAGGAAATAAATAAATGAAATGGACTATGATTGATAGCAATCAAACCAGGGAAAGCAAAAACATGGGATTTATTGATTTGAGCCGTCTTCCTAGGACTGTACTTGCTCAGGGCATCAGGTGGGGTGGGCGGTAGTATCACATGGAATGCCACGAAGCCTGAATGTCAGGCCAGACTCTGGCCCAGCCTGATTTGTAGTCGTAAGTTCTTTTAACTCTTTGGCCTCTCCCTACTCATCTGATGTGGTAGGAAGTGCTTCCCTAAACTCCATTTCATGTTCTAACATTCTGTGGCTCTGTGATCATCAGAGCTAACACTCACTAAAAAGCCTTCTGTACTAAGCACTTTCCATGTACTAACTCATGCAATCCTCATGAAAATCCTAAAAGCAGATACTTTGGTATTACTCCCATTTTACAGATGAAAGAAAACGAGGCACAGAGGAGTAAGCTGTGTGTCTATGCTATACAGCTGCTAGCGAACAGCAAGGATTTGAGCCTTGGCAACCTGGTCCCAAAGCCCAAGCCTACATCAAGCCATACCGTCTGCAATATGACAAGCTGACAAAAGCCAGAATACACAGGTCTGCAAAACTGTCTTTTTGCAAAATTTTGGGCAGCCCAAGATCTGTATCTGATTAACGAATCTTTTTATGAGTAGTCTGCATGGAATTCTGGGATTGAATGTTGCTATGGCAAACAGCCACTAAAAACGACCTCTGTGGCAAATATGCAGGCGTGAACTACAGAAAACAGGAACAATACACATTTAGATCAGAAGGGTTCTCTTAAGAAACCATTCAAACTGGTGTTGATCTAAGCAAAATCATAAAAGAACTTGAAGGCTTTGCAATTTCTGTTCTCCCAAAGCAAGATAACTTGTAATAACAGCACAAAACCAGCAAAACCACAAGACAGAAATGTAGGCTCTCCTGTGATGTGGAACATCCATTCCTGGCTCTAAATCCTAAGTACGGGAGCATCTCGGACTTCACGCACATCTGAGCCATGTATGGCAGGGGACGGGAAGGGTCTGGTTAAAAGAACGAAGATTGTGGATCTATAGGTCTGTGTGGACCTGATACTCTGAAGTATAAGGAGCTCCTAGGTGAGGCTGTGTTGCTGGAATGTGGACCATACCTTGTGAGTGGTGGTAAAAAACCTACAGGGTCTCAAGAGTCTACAGAACTCATTTCTGCCACCAGTTAGCTGTGCGCCAGGTTTAAGTCTTCTATGCTTGGATTTGTCAGATGATCTTATCTGTATGTTCTCAGTCTAGCTGTAAAACCCGGTATCTGCAACAACGGTTTTCTCATTCAACTCTACACTGAGTTTCTTCTGTTAGGATTAAAATGGGAAAATAAAATGCCTTCCTACCCCCCTGAAACCCATGTCTCTGCAACAGGAGAATCAAGGCTAAGCCTTCCTCACATCTATTACAGAAGGATACTTAGAACTTGCAGAAAAGTGATTTATTTTTGAGGCTTTCTACTTTGGCCAAAATCACTTTGAAACTCATTAGCCAGGGCAATGGTATACTGGATATGGTATTAAAAGATGGATCATGCCCCCATTCTTCAATAACTTCTAGGGATGGAGCGGGGGTGGAGCTTGGATAGCTTTATCATCTAGACTTGCACTGTCTAATGTGGTAGCCATTAGTCATATGTAGCTATTGAGCTCTTCAGATACAGCTCGGCTGAATTAAAAACCCACCTGAGATTTTGAAGGCTTACTATAAAAAGGATGTAAAATATGTCATTAAAAATTTTATAATTACTCTAAGTAAAAATGACAGTATTAGGGGTATACTGTGAATAAACTATTTTATCAAAATTAATTTCACCTGTTCCTCTTACTCTTTAAATGTGCCTGCTAGAAAAATTTCAATGATATCTGTGGCTTGATTTATATTTCTACTGGACAGTGCTGATCTAGTCCTTTGCTATTCAAACCGTGGTTCTCAGAACAGCGGCATGGGCATCACCTAGGAACCTGTGAGGGAGAATTTTGTCCTCATCTCAGACCTACTGAAACAGAATGTACATTTTAACAAAATCCAAGGTGATTACTATGTACATTCTAGTATAGCAGGTGCTGGGCTAGTTTCTCCTACAACTTATCGACAGAAGTACCTGGACTTTTGGTTTACTTAAGTGATGCACTAAAAGAGTTTTGTGCTTGCTGAATTTTCTACAACATTTCAGCTAGACAATGGAAATATATTTTTTAAGTTAAAATTATTACTATACAGCTTTAATATATGTATGAAAATAATACATAAAATACTATGCACACCACATATATACACATGGGGGGTAAGGAAGGGAGGTTCTTTTCACCGAGGCTACCTTAGTTACTTCTGGATTCTCAGCCACCATGTATGTGAAACTGATGTTCACCAGATCTGTGCCACTGCAGACACAAACTATCCGCCCTTCCAGATCATTCTCTGACTTTCCAACAGCCTCAAGAGCGGCCAAGATTTTGGGATCCTGTATAGAAGTACACAAATAGGAAAAAATTGTTAGATCACAGAGCATGGAGGAAACATGCTCAACTGATGTAAAAATACACAGAAGGACAAATGTTTTCTTTCTGATCTAAAAATGCCCTGATATCTAGCATTATTCTAAAACTTGTAGAGGTAAAACTTGTAATGCTACATACTACTTGAACTCATGTGGTAAGAAAAGTATTATAATATTATTGATTCAGAAAACTAGGTGTGTGGGTCTTTCTTCAGGTACTTTGTTGTAATTATTGGAGGACCTGGAAGATGCTAATGGAATGAAAAGGCTCTGACTGGGTCCTGCCTAGGCCCCAAAGATCCAAGGCAGCTGTCAGCAGAGGACAGTCACTAGCATCTCATGCAAATAAACATAGACACTGCCACAGCCAGCCACCAACGGCTATCAAAAAAAAATAAGATTAAGGCTTTCAAGTAACCTGGACACAAAGAGTATGTTCATCTCTAGAAGCCATGACATCTTCATTTGGAACGAAGAGAGTGTACGTTTACCATAATTATCAAATAAAATAGCATCTTTGTCCTCCAAAAGAACTCAAGAGGAAATGCCAACATAGTTACACAGGAATTTTAGCTAACGTAAAAGAGGACAGCTTTTGAAAAAGACAAACAAAATGATTCACATAATTTTGTTTTTGACATCTTAAAACCTGCAGAGCTATTATGAATATGGGAATAAATACAATGCTTTAATATTCTAGAAAAAGGCCAGCTTTTAAATTCCTCACATCACTATGTAAACAGCTTCTTATTCAAACATATCAATCACTGTGAAGAAGATGGATTTATATGCTCTGTCATCTTTTCTCTCAGAGGCAGACTGAGCCTCCAAGGTGAGCCCACGTCTGCGTGCACAGGTGCATAAATATGGAGCTAGCCATGTCGTTTAAATTTCCACATTAACCACAGACCAGAAGTGACTCATTGTTTGTTTTAAAAAATGGCAGCAGAGGGAGGGGGGCCTTGATGAATTAATTTCTGAGTTAAGGAAACTGTTTCTATGATGGAGGTATCATGCAAGCATCTTCTCTTCGAAAGGGGAATAGCGTTTCTAATGTTAACTAAACATAATGCAATCCAAACCATCCAATGGATATAGATGAAAAGATTTCTAAATTGTTCTTCATTCCAGCTGATGAGTTTGGGGCAGTAAAAAAGGTTACACTGCATTCCAGAAACCTTTTCCAACCTAAGTAAATCTGTGTTTAGAAGAAAAGCAAACATCAATCACAGGTACCTTTGGGGTGGCTCCCAATCGAATACTGTTGATGAGGGAGCATTCTAGCACTTGTCCTTCCTGAAAAGAGAGAATGTAATACAGCAGTGAGCTGAAATCCTGCCAGACCTATGGTACAGATGAGGTATGTGATGACGAAGGCAATGCCAATGACAGTAAAGGAGAGAAGGAGTGAAAAACAAAGGACAGTCATTGCAATACCCAATGATCAGAAATGGTCAAGACCCCACACATTCCATTTCAAATATACTCGTATATATGGATGCAAGTCTGAATAATTACTTATGTTTATAAAGTGCTGTTACCTTTATGCATATAATATTGTTATTAGTGTATGTATCTCATTAAATATATGTGTGTACATGCAATATTAAGTGGGTACAATGCTTTTATAGAATTCCAATTCTACTTTTTAAAATTCAGTTCAAAGATCCATTTAATGTGTGCACTGTGCTGTGTATTGAGTAAAGTCCTGGGGTGTAACAAGATGAACATGCTCTTAATGCACCTCTGAAACTCAGCTTGAAAATCTCTTCTTCTAGGAAACCTTCCTGATTCTCAAGATTAAATCAGATCTGCCTATTTTAAACTCTTATAACAACCTAACCTTCTCTTAACAACACTCAATGACTCGTATCTTTTATTTATTTATTTTTTGATGCCTGCTTCTTCTCCTAGACTGAATCTATGAGGTCTAGAATACTGTACTTGATCACTACCGTATCCCCCAATGCCTGCCACATGGAAGCACATTTTTAAAACCCTGAATAAATAAGCAAGTGTAGGGTTCATGCCCTCAAGAGGCCTTCTGTCTACTTGTTGAGAAATAAAATGGTTTAAATCAAAGAGCAGGAAAGAACAATTCACGGTTCCTGTACTATACCTTGCCTTCACTCCTCCAGGTCAGAAAGAAGCCAAATTCATCCACTTTGAAGAGGCAGTTGGGTTCAAACACAAAGGATTCCTGTTAAAAAGAAATGTGTTGATCTGAATGACTCACCCCATTTTGAATCTAATAAAAATGCAAATATCTTTTAGTCTGTAAAAGAGGGAAAATGAGAAATCATCCTTTTGCATCCTAAATCTAATGACCACATTTCCTATTATATTACAGAATATTTTCATCTTGAAAACTCTTTGCATTCAGTTTTGTATTGAAAGACTAATCAACTTTATGCAGCATCTGCCTCTAGAGTAGCTTTAAATATAAAACACACTGATGCCTTGTAGGTCATTGAGAAGAAAGTTTCTCTAAGGCCTTGGAAGAAGAGCTCCGGGAGAGAGAGAGACTTCCAGATTCCAGCCAACTAGTCTTCCACAAAAGAGCAACTGTTATCTGTATTTAATATAATGCAAAATATCAGGAGATAATTTTTTTTAAGTCACTGATTTTTTTTTGTCTCACTTATCATTCAAATGTTTACTCAGAAAACTTCTAAGATTTTTGTTTTTACATCCAATCTCATTTGGTGTCCTATAAACCAGGACTTGAGCAGGATTTTGAGCTATGCAAAGTGTAGTCCTTGGACCAGCAGCACCGGTATCATATGGGAACTTGACTGAACTGCAGAGTCCAGTGCTCCTGCCCAGATGGACCAAATCAGTTTCCAGAAGTAGGGCCCAGAAATATGCATTCCAACAACCCATCTAGGTGATTCTAATGCACACTAAAGTTTGAGAACCACTGCTGTACACTTTGACACGAGAAATTCTGTTGAAACTTATAGAATCAAAATTTGAATAAATAAGGATGTTGGGGGATGCCTGTGTGGCTCAGCAGTTGAGCATCTGCCTTTTTGACCCAGGATGTGATTGATCCCGGAGTCCCAGGATCGAGTCCCACATTGGGCTCCCTGCGTGGAGCCTGCTTCTCCCTCTGCCTGTGTCTCTGCCTCTCTCTCATGAATAAATGAATAAAATCTTTAAAAAAAAAAAAAAAGAAGGAATGTTAGCCCCCACAGGGGCTCAGGGCAGCTATGCTGTACTTGCCAAAGGATTCCTGGTCTTTAGCAAGAAAGCACCATTGTGACTATGAGCACCAGGAAAATTCTGCATCAGTGAAAGAAAAAGGGTATTTAGGAAATGAACCCAGATACCCTCTGCCCTCTGGACTGCTTTGTACCAAGACTTGGTACCCATGTGTCAATAAATCCCCATGTCTTTCTCATAATGTAAAGAAGTAGTCCTCCTAGATAATTATAGTGCCAACAAAAGGGAACTTGTCTGCCACATGTGTATCAGGGTAGTGACTTACAACAAATAAAGAGTAATTATAGGATTAAGACTTTAAGGGTCATTCAGACTCTTAGTTTCACCCATCAAAACATATCTTTCTAAATTTCAGGGAAACAGAAACATTTATTAAGGTAAAGCCAATGTCAAGATACTGGGCCACCATAAAGTGTCAGAATCTAGGGTCCTTGAAGCTAGCCTTCAAATTTGTCTGGGTAGTCTCCTGACAGGTGAAGAATATCATACACATTTCAACTCCATATCAGGCACATGCTAAGCACTGCAGACATAGCAATGAAAAATACAAAGAATGGGAACATGGTATGATCTTTGTCTTTGGAATCAAGACCCAGTTCCACTATTTATTTTTTATCATCTCCTCAAAGGCCCCTTTCTAAGCCTCAGAATCCTTATCTAATAAATAAAAGTATTAAACATATCTTTCAGGCGTATAGAAATTAAGTGAGTTGATACTTGGCACACAGTTATAATTCAGCAAGTGGTAGCTACTATCAGTAATGTATGGTTCGAATTTACATTTGTGGTAGCAAATTACTAACAACATGACATCACCAATATTTGACCCACAAAGATGGCACTTTTGGATGGTTCAACTTTTTTGAAAAGTCTTCACCCAGGCAAGAGCTTACACTCTAGTTGGGTCTCAGAGAATGGGTAGGAGTTATCCAGGTGAAGCAGCATGCTGAGCAGAGGGAACAGCATTTGCTGCTTGTAGGCTTGACCAGACACTGGGAACTTCTGAGGAGATGGTGTAGTTAGAACATCTCAAGGGAGTAGCAGCAGATGAGACTGGACACATAAATAGGGCCAGATCAGAAGGCTGTTATATGCCATGCAAAACGTATTAAACTTGACCAAAAGGCTATAGGGAGTCTTGTATCATTACTGATTGAGAAACAAGAATCACTAATTAAAATATGAGAATTAACACATTTTAGACTACTTCCCAAGCAGTATCTTAACATTAGTACAGATTTCTTGTGCACAACATTCAAAAGTCTGCCCTAAAGTGGCATTTAGAGAGTAGACCCACAATGAATCAACTACCATCGTTATTTATGTGTACCCTACCCTTTTCCAAATAAGGATTTGAAATGATCCATGAAATATACATGATAAATAAGAATGGTTTTACAACTTATTTTGAGGTGGAACTTTCAGTTCCTTGGCCTCCTTAACTGCAATGATTTTTTTTTCTCTCTTTCTTTGTCAGTTATGAAGTACCCCTGGAGCTTATCACCACCACCCTGGTATTTCAATTTCTAATGTCCCAATCTTGGACCATGTCACTTGATCCCTCTAGTCCCTACCTCTACAGTATCTATTCTCCTACATCCATTTGACTTCTTTACAACTTCCTAATTGTCAACCTTGCTGATCATTCACTATCCACCAGACTTCCTCCTCCTTTTCCTTCCACTGTTGTCTAGCTAATTTCCATGACCCAATATTAAAATCACTCCCTCACAGACACCTTCAATACCCATGTTTCATTTCTGTTTTCTTAGTCACAGAACCAAGTCCATCTTATCCATATTTTATTGCCGAATTTGATGAAGAAAATCACAGAACTGGTTTCTCAGGCTTTAGCTGATATTCAAGATCACAAACTTCACATGAATAGTCAACAATGACTTCCAAACTTAAAATTATTTCTTAAAGAGGTTCCCCACTCTACAAAAGGACAATTTCGTGGCTTCTCAAACTCCTTGGGTGCCAGCAATTACTGTCTTCACTGGGTAAAAAAATCCATAAAATAAGAATCTCTCTCTCTTCCCTCCCAATAAAACATTCTTTCTCCCAATAGGGGTCAATCCCCCCTCCACCATTTCTGCTCCAGATGCAATCCTCTTTCTCTCACACAAGGACTGCAGTCTTTCATTTATCAACACCCCACACACATCAACTTTTCTTTTCTCTACTAGATCATTCCTAGTAGGACACACATTCTAGTTGTTCCCACTGCCTCCGTCACTTACTACCTTATGTTTCTGATCCCCTTTAGAGCATATCTTGAAAAGTTTGTCCATATTCACTGCCTCTCTACTATCTCTCTTCCATACTATCTTTGACCAATTCCATCTGCCGTCTTTTCCTGTCACCCTCTGTTACTTTTTCAGCCAGGTTTACCATGGCTTTCATGGTGCCAAATGTAGCACACACATTCTTTTTTCCCATCTGATTTGATCTCTGAGCATCAGACCAGTCCCTCCTTGGAAGACTCTCCAATCTTTGGTTGCATATCATTTCTTTAGTCTCTTTTTCTTCTATCCTCAACTTCTACATGTTTTCCAGGACTTGGTTCCGAGAATTCTCATTGCCAATATGTTCCCAGATTTCCATTAACCCCCCCCCCCCGATTTCAATACCATCTATTTCTTGGTAACTCCCAAATTTACAAGAGTAGCCCTAGATCTCTCTGAGTTTGGAACTTTACCTGACATCTCCACTCAGATGTCTCCAAATTAAAATGCCTACAACTGAATGCTTTATTCCTTACCGTCTCTCCAAGCCTTTCCAGCATGAGACTTTAAGTTCAATAAATGTTCCCAGTACCTACCAATTTATTGAAAACTAAGTCATCCTTAACTTTCTCCTCTCACTTCCATTAATGAATCTCCTTCATACTCATATATATCCATTTTACTCCATCTTACCACCATTTTGGTCCAAACCATCATCATTATGTCCAAGGACTGATCTTCCTACTTCAATTCTTTCTTCCCACAGCAGCCAGATTAACTCTTTGAACGTTTCATCAGTTCATTAAAACCATTCAATGGATTCCTGCATTATTCAGGATAAAATCCTACTCCTTACCAAAGGCCCTAGACAAGCTGGGTTCTTCAGACTGTATATGTTGCCACTTTCCACTGCTTTCCTTTTTCTTCATTATAGCCATGGAAATTCTTTTCCTTGAACTCCTCAAGTTCCTCCCAGGCCTTTGTACCTGCAGCCTCTCCTGCCCAGAAATCCCTTCCTACTGCCCTTAGCATAATTGGCTCCTCTGTATCCTGCAGGCCTCACCTTAATGAGCTTGTCTTCAGAGGGGGCTTTCTCTATATTTTTTCAAAGGTCTCTCACATTTTTATTTTTATTTATTTATGATAGAGAGAGAGAGAGAGAGAGAGGCAGAGACACAGGCAGAGGGAGAAGCAGGCTCCATGCACCGGGAGTCCGACGTGGGATTCGATCCCGGATCTCCTGGATCGCGCCCTGGGCCAAAGGCAGGCGCCAAACCGCTGTGCCACCCGGGGAACCCGGTCTCTCACATTTTATTCTCTATTACAGTACCTTATTTCTTTGCTTGCACCAATTGCGATCTGCAATTATTTTTATTTCTTTGTATATTGATTTATTGTATGGCTTTCACACCAAAGTATAACCTCCACGAGGGCAGAGCACTTGAGATGTTCTGGTTCACATCTGCATTCCAAGTACCTAGCACATCAAAGGCACCCCAAAACTAAATTCACGCACTAAAAAAATAAATGAACATGTGATATCCTGTTTCAAATAAAGTATTTTTCAGCAGGCCAATCTATAAAACAGATAAACAAGAAATTATTCAAGTTGAGGGGGTTGTTTGTAGCAAGCCTGGAACCCATCAGGGTCAGTCCTTGGAAGGCTGCCATGAACAGAAGTACAAATACAAGGACACTGCATTGAATCCAGTCCACATTGTCTGCCTGGCAGAGGGGCTGTTTTAAA